ATATATATATATATACTACCTAAAAAAGTTGTCACACATATAATAGGAAAGTTGCCCAATTAAAAATTGTTCAGTTTGAAAATATATAACAAGTTGTCACACATTCAATTAAAAATTGTTCGACTTGAAAAAATTAGTCTGAAGTAATGTCTAATCACTAATGTTTTATATTTTATATCTACTATATATAGTCTCTCTCAAAATATTAGTGTGATGTAATATTAAATATTTTGTATCATTTATACATATTTTTGTATATATACGCCAATCCATTTGTCCAATTGTTGTATAAATTATCATATTATAAATAGATCTATCTTAGACTTCCATTTAAGTTCCAGCGGCACCAGTTTCTTTGATTTTGAGGTTCTATTTGACAGTCATGGTCAGTCTTTTTATATAAAAAATATAGAAATATTAGTGAATATTATATAGCTAATCAAGTATAATCGATATTACATAAACAACTTATTGTCTGACTGCATAAGTAAACTATCATATTATAAAAAGATCTATTTTAGGATTTCATTTAAGTTATAGAGCACCAGTTACTTCTAATCTTAGGATTTCATCTAAGATCATGGTTAGTCTTTATGTGCTTTGACATATTATTAAAGAAATCGGTTCTTAGCAACAATGGATTATATGTTGTTGTTTTTACGTGTAAGTAATAGATAAGAAATGTGCATTGACATGTTCTTAAAAAAATCTTTTTTATTCACGACCAATTGTATGTTGTTACTTGTGTAAGTAATAGGTCAAGAAGAGTCAAGGTCAACATTTATTGTACGTTGCCAAGAAGAGTCAAGGTCAACATTTATTGTATGTTGGCATGTTCTTAAAGAAATCGACTTTTAGTCATGGACAATTATGTTGTTTGTTTCGCGTGAAAGTAATAGAAAAGTGTTGAAAATATTAGTTTGTGGGGACGACGAGTTGCTCAGTTATTGAACAAATAATGTTGTGTACAAGAAAGTTTAAATAATATATTTTTTTTTGCATGAAGAACATTTTATGGTTTGATAATTTTCCTACAAATTATCACTCTTTTATTTATTAATACATTTTAATTTTTAATATTCTTTAAAATAAATACAGCCCGTGCATCGCACGGGTTACATACTAGTTTGTATCAAAGAGATGAGTATAATATCTTGAAACATTTAATTTGAAAAAAAAAAAAAATGTATATCTTGTTTCAGATCCGACTATTTGTATAACCGAATTTGATCACCAGAATCATTACAGGATCAGCAAATTGAGATTTTTAAATTCATAATTTTTTTCTTAATTATTTTCTTGATTGAAAGCATTAAAATCAAATAGAACTAATTCGGATATTGTAAAATTACATTTCGTAGATAATGGTACGTTTCAAAATTCTAGTCGTCACGCAACAACTCGACTTTCATCCCGGTCGAGTAGCCCGTTCCCTCAGTTAACCGTGATATGGCTGCTACATCATAGAACCTCTGACCAGGTGATTGGAAAAATGGAAACAGATGCAAGTGTCGAAAACAGGCAAACCTATCATATGACATGTTATTAGTTAATTTCCCATTTATTTTAGTTCCAAAAAGTAGCAATTGTCATGGAAATGGTGGTTTTTGATAGGGTGTTGATATTCACCGCCCTCTTTTCGATAGTTATCGCCCCCTAAAAAGACAATTTTACCCTTTTTAATATAAAAATAATTTTTTTTTTTTTTTTGGTTGGTCGGCCTTGAATGCCGGCCGTAGCCGTGCCGGCCTTCTTTTTGCCGGTAGGTCGGCCCATGAGCCGGCCGGCCGGTTTTTTTTTTTTTTTTTTTAAGAAAATTTTTTTTTTTTTTTTTTTAAGAAAAATCAAAATTTTAATTATATACATTATATTAGAATTTAGATTTATGTTATAAATTAGTATTTAATATCTCATAGTTAGAATTTAGAAATTGTTAAATTATAAATTATAATTAATTATCTTATAGAATATTATTATTATTATTATGTTAGAACTCATTAATTATTATGTTATATAACATAATACTAATTATCTCTAATAAAATACTAATGAGTGATGCTATTAAAAATTGTAGTTCTCTTTTTTTTCTTAAATCCGCTCCTTTTCAACTCGGTAATAAATTTTAAAATACAAAATAATATTTTTACTTAAATTTGAAATTCATAAATACCGATTTAAATAACAAATTGAACGAAAAAAATCAGATTATGTTAGAGCAATTCGTTGAGACCGATTAATTAAGTATGATTTGACCGAATTTTATGACAACAAATTGTTTGACACTTTTTTTATAGTTATATGATTCGTTTGAATATTATAGTAGGAAAAGCGTTCTAACAAAATAGTAATAAATTCTAATTTATAATAGTAATAATCTATACCATAATAATTTCTAACTTCTAACATAGTAGTACTAGATATTATTTCATAAGGCTATCAATTCTAAATCATACTATAATAATATCCAACTTCGAACATAATAGTAGAAAATTATAATTTATAACATAATCAGTTTTAATCTGTAATACAATAACTTCTAACCTCTAACAAAATAACAATAAATTCTAATTCATAA